ATATAAAACAGGTTACAATTTTTCGAAATTTCGAATGCAACATTCCAAGAAATATTCACCTATAAGTCTAAATCTAGCCTTGGCCTTCCAGGACACGTGTAGTTATCTGGAGGGGCTATACAATTACATTGGGGGACTGGATTGTTAGGATTAGGGTTTAGGCTAGGGATGGTACACAACCTCGTCCTTGCCACAGTCAAAGTAGTTGACGCTTGTCCGAATTTTCTCACTTAACGCTACGTGCGGCGGTAGTAATAAGGATGGTGTTGTTATGACTATCAATTAAAATAATAATAGTACTATGTATGGCTCTAATTAAAAAATCCAAATGTTGTCTACAAAATCACGAGCGACAATTTTGCTTTACTACAATGACGTGGTTCATCATTGGATGTTTGCGTGGCCAGTCTCTGTGTGGCCATTGCTCCAATCTTTGGCGTTATTGATCTCGTCCGTACACTTTACACGGTCATGTTTTAATAAAACTATTACTGTTTTTAGTTTTCAACAGTAAATCTGAAAAAAATACACTGTTAGAAGTTAGTTGACAACCACTTTAACACCTCGACAAAATTACCTACCTTTCGAACTCATCCTGCTAGAAGGTAACCTCTGACCTCGATTTTGATGTCACATGATCAGTTATTTTACCCATCACACCTCAGTACACGGTATCTCATCGACGTAAAGAACGTAATGTGATCGACGCTCAACATTGTTTGGGACCGAATATTACTGCAAAGCTATACACATCGATTAGATATTTCACTTGTTGGAGAAACAAAATACACAGAAAAAAGGTAGCTTGTCTAAATGCGCTTAGATGTTTGCTTTGTGTCAGTTTAAACTCAAATATTGAAGCCTGAAAACACCGAGAAAGAAAATCCAAAATGGCAGCCTCTGTATTTCCATTCCAACATCAAGCTAGAGTTCAACAAAACATCGGTGAGTTGACACAAAATCTGTAGAATACACGCTATCCGACTTAAATTGATTTACTGGTCTAACAGGGCTTTAAAGCAGTAAGCATAGCAGTTAATTAAAGATGTAATGGATGTAACGTATAAATACATTCTCTGTTCATGATTGGTTCTCATAAATGCAGTTTGTTAGTTTGACCATGGTTTGGCCATCTCGTCACATTCAGTCAGTGCTGTGGTTTGAAGTATTACTCTCAAGACGTAGACCACAGTTCTTCTATCGTAAACGCAGAATAAATCCTACTATACTACATCTTGAATTTTGGTGCTCCACCAAACATGTGGTAGTCTCATTAACCACTTAAATATGTCTAAATAATGTAAACTGAGGTAAAAACTGTTGCTTGGACGAACTACTACCGGTAGATGAAAAGATGACTGCAAGTTTGGCTGTAACTGTCTTTGATTTGGTCATCTTCTATAATTATGCAGCTATGACTAATTTTTTAATAAATTCCTATAATATGGTTTGTGAAGTCAGGATAAAAATAAGTTGACATCAATTGCACCAGGTAGGTGTAATGGAAAAAGGAATAGACCACTTTTATAGCTTTAAAGTGCATGTGAAGTGCCCCATCTACACATTTATGTTTTTGGTTTCTGTTGTCCTGACATATTTTTAAAAAAAAGTAAAACTATATAATAAATCATCCTTGAGCAAAATTGAAAATTTGTAGAGTTGTAGTCATGTCCCTTTCTGTCGAAGTCAACCGTTTGTGGCTTTCCAACTTTTCCCAAAGTGAAACTGACCCACCTAACATCAGACAAAGCCATGCAAGTGCCATGCATTGAATTAATAGAATATTTGATGATCGTTTGAATATGGAGTCAATGTCTGTCATGTTATTTTATTTCCTGAGTGCAAAATATTATCAAACATATGACGTATGATCTCCACTTACTAAGTGGTGCTGGCAGTTGAAATTGAAAACTGATTACAAAAATAAAGTCCAGTAACATTTCAAACAACTCATCTTGGATTTTCATCATATACATGCTGTTGTATATTTCACTGTCACCATTTGTTTATCATCACAAGAAAGTATATACTTGTGTGCAATATTTGCTCAGTTTCACTCGATAGTTGTATTTACTCAATGTTTTTTCTCTCCACCTACTACCATGATCAATATGCAGGTCCAGTCAATATTGTGGATCCTTCAAGTAACAACTCACCTTTGGATTTCAACAAGTCTGCAGTGCCATTGATGGAGTTGAAATTGAATACAAGTCCTGTTGACCAGACACAGAGAAAGGATATCAATCCAGGTATGAACTATCAATACCTGCTTAGTATTTATAAATCACTGCTAAACTATCACTCATTTACAATGGTTTATTTGTAGAAACTACATGTATTACAGAATCCAAAATTGTATGTGTTGATAGTAGTGAAAAAAAACAAAAATTTCCATTTATATGTGCCTCATCGTGCCTAGGGGCAAATAATCAATTATGGTTAAATACGTTATGCTACTTACTTACATTGTCACTTACATAGGAAAGGGGTGGCATAGGGTGTGAAGTATTTTACAAGTTCAGAGAGTTTAAGCAACTGACTATCTTTGGTTAATAGAACTGTGGATTTTTATATAAATAAATTATGATGAATGTATAAAATTGTGAAAATAATATGAGTGCAAATGTTAGGTAATTTTATTAATTTCTGGTGAACATGATAAAACTTGTTTATAATTTTGTTCATACTTTTCTATTATCATGTTTTTTTTTTACAGTTCTTGGTGGGGTGCAGGGAGATCCTGCAATGGCAGCATTTGGCGCTATGGAGAGCTGGACCAATCCACAAACGTCTTGGGGTTCCATGGGGCAGATGGGAATGGCAGGTTTTCAGGGAGACCCAAATATGATGAATCAGTGGCAGATGGGTGGACAAATACCTGCACAAATGGGTGCACAAATGATGGGTCAAATGGGGGGGTTTGCCATGGTTCCACCACCTCCACCACCAGACATGCAGCAGAAAGAAATCATACAATGTAAAAGCTGTATATTATTCCCACCTATGATTGGTAAGTTAGGAGGAAGATGACTAATATTGTTTAAAACTGTTTTGATAGAGTATAGAATATAGTAAAGGTTTTCAGATAGTACTCACACTAATTATTGGTTTTAATCAAAATACAAAACTGTATGTATTTTATAAAAGCTCCAGTGTTCTCCCCAGGCCTCTGAAGCGCCACGGTACTGTGACGCTTGGACACTCGGTCGTGATGCTTGCCCTTTGTCCGTGACGCTTGGTCACTCAGCCGTGATGCTTATATTTTTGTTTACAAGTGTCAGTCTTCTCGTCTTGCACGTATTTAAAACAATAACAT